GCCTGATCTACCTGTTGTCCGTAGTCTACAAGCTGTTCACTCGAGTCATCCTGAATAGGACTGGCAGAACACTAGATGAAGGTCAACCATGCGAGCAAGCTGAGTTCCGAAAAGGATTCAGCACTATCAACCATATCCACACAGTAACCAAGCTCATTGAGGTTTCTCAGGAGTTCAAGATGCCGCTCTGTCTAACGTTCATTGATTTAAAGAAGGCCTTGGATTCTGTTGAGACTGAAGCAGTCATCGAAGCCCTAAGCAAACAGGGCATTCAAAGTCAATGTATCAGGATCCTCCGTGAGCTGTATTACGGATTCACTACCAGGATCTCACAGTTCTCAAGGAAGTGACCATTGACTTACAGAGAGGGGTTTGGCAGGGTGATACCATTTCACTGAAACTCTTCAGTGCCACCCTCAAGAACGGCTGGAATGGGAAGAAATGGGAGTGAAGATAGACATCAGCACCTACACCACCTCCGCTTCGCTGACGACATCGTTCTAATAACACCAAACATTTAGCCAAGCAGCACAAATGCTGGCCGACTTCGACCATGAGTGTGAAAAGGTGGGACTGCAGTTCAGTCTCACGAAGACAATGTTCATGAGAAACGAACTCGTTCCTGACGTTCCATTCGCTGTCAATGGAACGAACACCTCTGAATGCAGCATTTATGTGTACCTACGTACAGAACTCAACCTGACGAACGACCTGGCACCTAAGTTACACAGGAGGAAGAGAGCAGCGTGCAACACCTTCAAGAGTGTCAAATAAATAGCTAAGAGGATGGAGAACCTCCAGCTCCGGGCACATCTTTTCGACTCCACCATTTTTCCTGCATTAACATATGCCTCAGAGACCTGGGCCCTAGGAAAACAGGATGAGAATGCTATTTGGATCTCCCAAAAAGGAATCGAAAAAGCTATGCTTGGAGAATCACACTTTACTCAAGTGAGAGAAGGAATCTGGAGTTCTGACCTCCATCAACAACCAAGAATCAGGGATGCTGTCTCGTTTGCCAAGGCGTCGAAAATCAGATGGACTGGACACATAATGTGATTTGGAGATGATCGCTGGACTAGGGACGTCAAAAGATCGCGTGGTCGCTCACCTACGGGACTTTGTCAAGACCCTGAAAGATCGGTTTGAGGCTCTTCGTGTTCTTGGAGCAAGCAGACGCCATTGGGCTATACTAGCACGCGACATGGACGAAAGGAGACATTACTGGCGCCCGCTCGAGCAAATTCATGAGTAACAGGATGTCAAGTGATAACGTGATTCTACATGTTACTATAACAATGTAATTGTTTTATGTGTACTTATCTAATGTTTTCTTAACCTTTATGGCATCCTAATATGTTTTTTTCCCTTTTTGCTCCTCTGTACAAGATCAAATAGTCTTATTTATTCCTTTCCACTAAAGGTGCTTTTTGTTTAATTTTCTTCACTATTTTTTTATGGCTAGAACTTCCAATAAAATGATGAAAAAGGTGAGCTAAAAGCAAAAATCCTTATCCTGCTCCTAATCTTAAGGGGGAAAGTATGCTAAGTGTTGTTAGCTATGGGTTTTTTAATAAAGTTTTTATCTGATAAGGGAAAAAAGAAAAATAAAGTTAGAAGGCATCAAGCTTATAGACTTTTCATCATGATCATGATTCACGACCATCCTGTTGTTCGTCGATGGCCTCGAGCAGGCCCCAGTAACGTCTCCTTCATCCTAGCCCTGAGATTTTTTAAAAAGTGCCATATTCAAGGCTCTTTTAGGGTTAGGAGAATGAGACAGACCCATCATTGTTACTGGTATTGGGCATAATCAGTACACCACGGGGAGTTTGCCAGACTCTGCCGACTTTTCATAGAAACCATAAAATAGAGGTCAAGAGATAGTACAAGGTGACAGCCCTGGGTTCCATCCCCAGCACTGCATAAGATTCCCTAAGTACTGCTGGTTGTGGTTCAATACCCATCCCCACCTCCCAAATAAGGAAAAATAGTGAAACAGGGAAACAAGTAAATAGCAAATACAAGAAAAGAAAATGTGAAAACCAAAAACAGAGTCAGTAGTCTAGATGATAAGAGATGAGTGAAAGCATTAAAAGCAAAAACATTAACACTTCAAATATAAAAATGGAGGGCTGGGAAGATAGTTCAGAGGACCAGAGTACATATTTCACATTTGGGAACACTAGGTGATACAGTACTAAGGGAGCTAAGTCCCTCTAAAGTCCGTACAGATTCCATTACGGTCCCATAAGCAGCATCATGACTCCTGAGCACTAAGCTGCTGAGCACTGCAAGGTGGACAAAAGGTAAAGGTAAAGGTAAAGGCCCTCCCGTTGATCGTCGATTTGCTCGAGCGGGCCCAGTAACGTCTCCATTGGAGACTTTGTTGTTACTGTGTCTGGCATATCCAATACTCTCGGTAGCTTGCCGGGCTCTCCGAGAGGGGCGGAGGAATCGAACTCGGGTCGGCCATGTTGGCCGCTTGTGGACAAAAAAAAAAAGGATTTCCAAAAATTAAAAGCTAAGCACCAGTAGGAAACATAAAACTAAAGAAATCATCAGAAACTGACACTAAAAGAAAAAAAGGTACTAAAGCTAACATTAATGATGTATTTTTTAAATATAAATTTACATTCCAAGCATTTAAGATACTTTCAGTAGCTATGCTGAGATTGAATTTAGCTACTCAATCTTTATAACAATTTCAGAAAATCAGACATAATTTACATTTGTGTACTTACACAATACACTGCATTTGACTGAATAGGTATATTTTATAAATGTTCCTAACAAAGCTTTATTTCTTGACTCTAGTTTGTCCTTGCCAAAGTATATGAGAGCAGAAATCTGCACAATTAGATATTAAAACCTAGTTCTCTATACCAAACTACAAATATCAGGAACAACCAAAACTTAGTTTCCACTACTTCCCTGTCCCTGCGAAGGCCCATAGTAGCTCCACAACCACAATCACATCCAATGTTCTCACTAAAACATCATAGAATGGAAAAATTATCTCCTCAAGGTAGCCTCTAAAACGTAAAGCTGAAACTTCTAAGACTTAATGAGAGCACTCTATACCAATACTGTCCTAGGTCTTGAGTTAAATTAACTCTTTTCTTTTCCCTTTCTGGTTTTTGGGACAGACTCAAGGGTGCACTAGTTAACTCCTGGCTCTACAGTCAGGAATCACTCCTGGCGATCTGGAGGACCATGTAGGATGCTTCAGATAGAAACCAGATCGGTGATGTGCAAGGTAAGTGTCCTACTTCTGTACTGTATCTCCGGCCCCAAGCTAAATTAACTTTAACCTGAGTATTTTATTGTATCAAAATAAAAAAATCACATCGAGTATTTTTTGATTATGAGAATAAGCACATTAAGGCTTAAAGCCTTGCATGAGGGACCTTGGGTTAGATCCCCTACAAAGCAAAAAAAATCCCAAAGGCAAATAGCCTTTGTAAGAGGGAACCAACTGTTACGTCCAGTTAAGTGGTTAATCTTAGACTCACTAATAATGTGACAATATATTGTGTATGTCAACAGGACTGTCAAGTACCTAAATGCAAAAGTTTCTCAAACGTACTCTATAAATACATAACAACTTCAAAGTAAGATTTCATCAATAAAGGGGCTTCTCTTCGACGACAGAAAAGAACAATCCATTGTAAAGGAAAAGAAATTAGGTGCAAAGTGTTTAAAAGAGACCTGAGCATGGGCCAAGTGGCTAGCTCGAGTCCAAGATGTGCGGAGCCAGCGCTGGACGCTGAGCAACACAGCCGACCCCTTCCCTCAACACCCGCGCGAGTGGCCCAAATTCAAACCAGAGTCAACTTTCAAGCGGGAGGGGTGCCCCGCCCAGCCGTAACGGGAATGACCGGGTCGGTCCCAAGAAACTGCCCACGGGGCCTTCCAGTGGTTCCCCCCCCCCGCCCCCCTCGCGCCACCACTCCGTGCGACGGGCCCGGAGAAACCAGTCCCCGACCCTTAGAGCGGCCAAGTGGCCGGAGGCCGGGCACAGGGACCGCGGAGGGAGCGTCTGCTCGGCTCCGCCAGTCTCGCCACGCTGGTCTGAGGCGACTCCTGCCCCTCCAGGCGGCCGCGAAGAACTTCGGGTCGCCCAGCCGGCCGCGGCAGACAGGGAGGGGGAACCCGGCGGGGCTTCCCGAGAAGCTTCTCGCACTGGGATGAGCCGGTGGGGAGCCCGAGCTCCGGGGCACAGAAGTGCGTGTCTCCGGGGCGGGGCGGGCCGGCGCCCTCGGTGGGCCGAACCATAGGGGCCAGAGGACTGGACGCACGCTGACGCGAGGCAGCCCAAGTAGCGCGCCCCCCGCCCCCGCACCAGTCCCGGGTGAGGCAGTCGGGCCACACAGACAGGAGGGGCACACACTCGCCCGGTTACTCGCCCCGGGCCCGAGAGCGCTCGCCGGGCCGCACACACTGCTCACAGGCAAAGAGCCCGCTGCCCGTCCGCCATTAGGAACTCGACGGAGCCGCCGGCCGGCCGGGCAGGGCAGCACCCGCGCCCGCGAAACTTGGGGGCCGCGGGGCACCGCGCCGGGGCCCGCAGCCCCAGGCCGGGCGCGGGAGGCGCCGCCGACGGGCCTCACCCCCACCCTGCCCGCACGAAAGGAAAAGCCCCCGCGACCTCCCACCGCCCCGGCCGGGCGGCCCCCGCCCAGCAGCGAGCCCCCCCGCCGCCGCGAACGCCTCCCCCGGCCCGCCCGGCCCGGCCCGGCCCTGTCGCCGCCCCGCGGGCCGCGCTCCCGGCCGCCGCGACGCGAGCGGAGCCCACGGCGGCCCCCAGGCCCCGACGCGCCGGCGGCCGCGGCAGCCGCGCCGCGGGGGATTCGGAGCCGGTCGCCGGGAAGCTCGGAGGCTGCCCTCACCCATCTCCGCCTCCCCGGTCGCCTCCGCCTACTCCGAGTCTGCGCCGCTCCCCACCACTCCCACTCTCGGCGGCCCCGGGCTGGAAGAACAGCTCCGAGAAGCCTCACCTGGCTCCGGCTGCGGCTCGGCCGAACGGACCTCCGCTCCCCAGGCCCACCCCCCCTTCGGCCACACGCACAACTCCGCTCGGCCAAGTCCCGGCCCGAGGGCTGCGGAGGAGGAGGAGGCGGCGGAGGAGGCGGCGGCGGCAGCACGGCCGAGCCCGGGGACGCCCCGCCCTCGCGCCCCCATAGGCGGGCGCAGAGGGCGGGCCCGGGCGCTGCGGGCACGTCCATTGGCCGCCTCGGCCTTCCTTCACGACCCCCCTCGAGGGGGTGGTCCGGGAGGCCGTCCGTCAGACGCGAGCCACGCCCCCGCGCGCCCGGGCCACGCCCCGCTCGGCTCCCGCCGCGTCCCCGCCCCGGCTTGCCCCCGCCTCCCGCCCCGCCCCCACTCCGGGGTCCGTCAGGGTCAGGCCGCGCGAGTTTCGTTACCCGCCGCGCTGGCAGCCGGCCTCCTCCCGGGGCACTGGCGCCCTCGCGGGCCCGGCCCGGTCCGTGGACAGCGGCCGCCGGCGCCAGCTCCCGCGGGCGCAGGCGGCTGGGGGCCGCCGGCGCTCCCTCGAGCCCCCCTGCCCGGGGACGCCGGGCCTCGATAAGCCCCACGCCGCCCCGCCCGGGGCGTGAGGCCCCGCGGGGGCGAGCGGGGCGGCGGGGCCACGTGGGGACTGGGCCGCGGGCGCCGCGACTTCCCGCAGGGCCCGAGGGCCGCCTCGAGCGCGCCTCATCCCGGGGGACGGGCCCCGCCGCCCGCCATGGCTGCGGGAGGAGACGGCGTCCTCCATTTTGTGGGGGCCGCCGCAGGACGTGGGGCCAGTGCCACGGCGGCCCCGGGGCTGGGGGCCGGCCCGGGGCGCCCCCGCTCGGCCCCCCGTTCGGCTGGGAGCGCGGTCCCCGCTCCCGGCGTCCGGGCCCAGGGCTGGGGGCGCCGCGGGGACCAGCCAGACGCCGCTCCCGCTCCCATCCACCAAGATGGAGGCCGCGCGGGCTCCCGGGGCTGGGCCGCGGCCGCCCTCGGCCCGACCTTCCCCGCCGGCTGCCCGCGAGGGGCCTCGGCGAGGGGCCCCGGGGCTGCGCGGGGCCGGGCCGGGCCGCGGCGAGGGCGCTGGGACGTGCGGGCCGCGGGAGCCGCCGAGGACGGTGGCCCATTGTTCTGCCACGGCGCGGCCGTCTGCCGGCGGGGAGGTCTGAGAAGGCACTCGCGAGCACGTGGCAGGGGCTCGGCCTTAGGTGGGCTGTCGCCTCAGAGGTGGTCGTCCGTGCCGTGGATGCTCCGTGCGCTTTGGGCTTGACTGCCATGTTCTGACAGACGGACACTATTCCTGGCCTAGAGGTCCTCGTGGATCCGCAGAGGGAGTCCGGAGAAATCTTGACGGGAAACTGCAGTCTCCTGAATAAGCAAGTCCGAAACAGTGACAGACTCAAAGCCTGATACAAGTGCACGGGTCTGGTCAGATTAAATTAGAGTTCTGCTAGATTTTTTTTTCCTGTTTGCGTCACACCCTGGCGATGCAGAGGGGTTCCTCCTGGCTCTGCACTCAGGAGTTACTCCTGGCGGTGCTCAGGGGACCATATGGGATGCTGGGAATAGAATGCCGGTCGGCTGGGTGCAAGGCAACCGCCCTACCCGCTGTGCTATCTCTCCAGCCCTTCTTCTAGATCTTTTGCAGTTTCCACGTACATTCCTAAAGTCCACGAGATGTCTTTCTTTAAAAAAAAACTTTGGCTTGCCACTCAGTGCCTCTCTTGCAAACCACAGGACCCAAAAGGAGAGCAGGAGAACAAAAGGGAGTGCCCTGGGGGGGGGGGGGGGGATGCTGGGACCGGGGATGCTGGGACCCGTGCTGGTGGAGGGATGGGTACTTGATCATTGTATAACTGAAACCCAAGCACAAAAATTGTAAGTCTATAACTGTACCTCATGGTGTTGCACTAGTAAATAAAAATTTTTGTTACTGTGTTTGGCATATTGAATACGTCATGGAGAGCTTGCCAGGCTCTGCCATGGTGGCGAGATACTCTCGGTAGCTTGCCAGGCTCCCCGAGAGGAGCGGAGGAATCGAACTCAGGTCGGCCATGTTGTCTGCGTGCAAGGCAAATGCCCTACCGCTGTGCTAATTTTTTTAAAAAACTGGGTTTATTCCGCGGTGCTCAGGAACCTTCCTTGTTCCAGGGAACCGCATGCAGTGCTGAGCATGGCACCAGGATCATCTGTGTGCAAGGCAAGAGTCTTGCCCTGTACTGATTCCCCGGAAAGAGAAGAATACTGTTGCAATTATCTTTCCATGAAGAGTGAGTTCTACGTTAAAAAAAAATAAAATAAAATTCCCGGTGCCTGACAGATTGATATATATAGAGAGAGAGAGCTGGTAGGCTCTTGCCTTGCACGCGACCAACTTGGTTTCAATCCCCAGCTACCCTGTGGTCCACCAAGCCTGGAGTGATTCCCTGGGCACTCTGGGTGTCGCCCCAAAATAAAATCATAGTGAATTACACTGCCTTGTAATTATGATGCATTTTACTAAACTAAAAAAATAAAACCCACATGGTCACATATAATCAACAGAATTAATATTAAAAATTTCTTATGAATGCGTACCTGGTGTGCAGTGGTCCCAGGTTTTCTTCCCAGAATCACATGGTTCCCTGAGTGGACCCAGTGACTTTTTTGGATACTTCTGAGGAGAACCCCCTAACCAGTAAGCTGAGATACAAAAGATCTAAACAAGCTTTTGAGTTATTAAATATAGACAGTTACACAATAGATTTGCTCGAGTGGGCCCAGTAACGTCTCCATTGGAGACTTTGTTGTTACTGTGTCTGGCATATCGAATACTCTCAGTAGCTTGCCGGGCTCTCAGAGAGGGGCGGAGGAATCGAACTCGGGTCGGCCATGTTGGCTGCGTACAAGGCAGACGCCCTACCCGCTGTGCTATAGATAAATAGAAAATAGATATTGGAGACCATAGTGATAGTACAGCTGATGGGATGCTTGCCTTGCATGCGGCTCACAGGTTCCATCTCCAGCATTCCATAGGGTCTCCTGAGCACCACCAGGAGTAATTCCTGAATGCAGAGTCAAGGGTAACCCCTGAGCATTGCCACATGTGGCAGTCTCCCCTTCCCCAAGCCCCCTCCCAAAGATGTTGCATTAAAGATATTTATAATAACCAGATTTTATCATTAACAATTTAATCTGCATTCTATAGTTTTACAATCTTTTTATTTTGTAGTGCCAGGGATCAAGCCCAGGTCTTATGAATGCAAAAGCATGTGTTTTACCATATCTCTGGCCCCATAATGGAGTCTGAAAAGCAATATTAGGATTACAGTGACATCTCAAATGATAGAGCACATACATGCCTAGCATGTATGAAGCCCTGAGTTTGGCCCCAGCATTCTTCCCCACCCTGCTTCTTTCTCCCATGTGACTCTGGTCTCTGGTGGCCTCCAGCATAAAGATCTCTGGCACCAGTACCTGAGGTGTGCTTGGAATAGCCCCTATTAAAAAAAAAAGTTTTATAGGACATGATATCCCATAACCATTAAAATTTAGAATTAGGGACCGGAGCAATAGTGCAGTGGGTAGAGTGTTTGCCTTGCATGCAGCTGAGCTAATTCAACCCCCAGATCCATATGATCTCCAGAGTACTTCCAGGAGTAATTCCTGAGTGCAGAGTCAGGAGTAACCCCTGAATATCGTCAGATGTGACCCAAAAAGCCCAAGAAAAGTAAAATTTAGGATTAATGACCAAATCAACAAGACATTGATGTTTTGAAATCAACTTAAATATTAAATTCCTTTTGGGATGAAAAAAAAGGTATTGGAAACTGAAAGATTACTGCGTGACCCACATGTACTGAGGATAATTCAGGCAGTTCTATTGTTTCGGCTTGACTGCTCTGCTGTTTAACATCCCCTGTGCTGCAGCAGTTTCTAACTGAACCACAGCCAGGTGTGTGTAAGCACCATAAAAAGGGTTCTATGGGACTGGAGCATTAGTATAGCGGGTAGGGTGTTTGCCTTGCATGCAGCTGACCCGGGCTCGATTACCAGCATCCATATGTTCCCCTGAGCACCGCCAGGAGTAATTCCTGTGTGCAGAGCCAGGAGGAACCCCTGTGCATAGTCGGGTGTGACCCAAAAAGGAAAAAAAAAAACCTAGCAGAACTCTAATTTAATCTGACAAGACCCATGCACTTGTATCAGTCTTTGAGTCTGTCACTGTTTTGGACTGTTGTGACCAAAAGAGCCAAAAAGGGGTGCGAATCTCAGTAAGCATTGCAGCTAAGAAGTTCTGTGACTGCCACATCTGGTGGACCTTTGGGAAGATTTCAAAAAGGAAATCATCAATATCAGTGAAATCAAACCATTAATGAAATAAATATCTATCCAAATTGGAAAGATATAAAATTATCTGCTTGCAGATATTATCTTGCATGTAAGAAATTCTGAAGAGTTCACAACGAAAAAACTTGTAGACATTTGTACTCCTATGTTCATTGTAGCACTATTCACGATAACCCAAATCTGGAAACAACCTAAGTATCCAAGAACAAATGAATGGAAAATGAAACTATGGTACATGTATATGATGGAATACTATTCATCTAAATGAAAAGACAAAATCATGCAATTTGGTGCTCCATGGATGGATCTGGAGAGTGTTATGTCAAGTGAAGTCAGAAGAAGACGGACAGATAGAATGATCTCATATGTGAGATATAATGAAATATAGTAGGGAATAAAAAATTGACCAGCAGCAACAGAAAATAATAATTGGTCCACAGTAGTGAGTTTACTATAGTGGGGATGGGGCGTTGTTTTTGTTTGTTTTTTTGCATTTTTTTTTAAGGAGGAAATAGGCAGTAGTAAGGGAAGTGGACACTAGTGGAAAATACGGTGTTGGAACCTTGCATGCATGAAAACCTACCATGAATAGTATTGTAAATCACAGTGTCATAAATAACAATTTTTCCAAGGTGTTAATCCAAAGAATCTAGAGGAAAGTGCCTGAACACAGTTCAATCTCTGGCACTATGAGTACTGCCAGAAATA